CTATGCGCACGTTGCCGATGAGGTGCTTCGGAGTGTGATTGTTTGTATGGATGAGAGCGAGCGAGATCACTACCTGTTTCTTCACGCTGCTTTTGCGAAGTGTGAGACGTGCTTGGCTTTCTGGCTGCATCATGGCGCCGATCTCAGTCGCCGTGCAGCGAGTCATCCGGACTGGATCGCCTTGGAGTGGGCTCGTGCTTCGAATGCCAGTCCGGAAATCTTGGGACTGCTGATTCAGTATGCCCTTCCCTCCTGCCGCGTGCCTTCTGCGCGGGGGTGGAGTTGGATATGTACGTGCACGTGCCCGGTAGGATTGACAGGAGACGTATCAGCCAGCTGGCCTCGCGGTCGCGAGATCATCAACTCTTGCATGAAGTCTTTGCAAAGTTTGCGTGCGAGCTTTGCTGGATCGAGGAGCGACACGTGCCGCGGCACTCCCTGCGAGCCGCTGAAGTCGGCCTTCAGGTGGGCGGAGGAGGCTAGCCTTGCAAGAAGAAGTCATGCCATGCCGGATGGAGCCGCGTGCTGTGGCAGTGGCGGATTCCTCTACTGCTGCGAGCGGCAGTGTTAAGCTTGCCCCGGGCACTCCTTGCCTTGTGTCTGGCAGCCAAAGTATGCCCAAGTGTAGACTTCTCCTTGATGCCCCATCCTCAGGTTCAGGTAATTGCCTGCCACACGCGGATATTGTTTATCATCCACTCCAGGCGGTCAGCGGAGCACGCAAACTACAGTGATTTGGCAACAGATAAACCTTCTCCTTTGACGCTGCGCTTGACCTCCTGGAAAAAACTTCGAAGAAATGGCAGTTCTGCTTTCGATGAAGGATGCTTGCCGTCGAAGAACCGACCCCCCCTGACTCTCTATTACAACTGGAACCACCACGCGGCAACCAGCTAGTCCGTACTACACCTGCAAATCGGACCCTATCGCAGCCGGCCCCAACTGATCGCAAAACCGGTCCCTACTGCAACCAGAACAAAACATCATGAGATTACCATGACTTGCAGGAAGTTGTCATGACAGCCCATTTCATGTATTCTGGGGCGGGCTGGGCTCTCAACCCAGCCCATTTGATGCATTTTGGGGCGGGCTCTGCTCAGGCTGGAAACCTTAAATGGCCGGTTGGAGGGCTCTGGACACCTCGGACTCTCGGACGGGTGGTGTTGGAGCCCTGCTGGCACGGAGCTGTTGGAATGGTCGTGTTCGTGCAGCGCTCTTGGTATAGCGCGATTGGCATGGTGCGCTTGGTACGGCGCTCTTTGTACGGTGCTAGGGTGTAATATCAGGGATCAGGTTTTGAGTAGAACGAGGTCTCCTTGCCTACAATGAAACGTCTGCGTCCTTTCTGGCGCCTTACACCTCGAAGTTTCGTAATAATCATACCTGAGTATGATGATCTGGCGCCTTGTGGTTCCTTGTAACCTCGTCGCCAGGAACAGTCGTAGCTAAGTATGCTGACTGGGCATTTTCTGGTTCTTTGCACCTAGAAATTCGCGACTTTGCCTAGCTAGGTCTTCTCATTTGGCCCTTTCTGGTTGGACTAATTATAGCTAAGTAGTATCATTCTGTCTTCTCTGGCTCCTGGCACCCTGAAAGTTGGGAATAATCATACCTATTTATCATCATTCTGCCTTTTCTGATTCCTTGCCACGTTCTCATTCACTCGTTTCAAGAGCTCCTCCCCCAAAGTGCGTTGGTGACCCTTGAACACGCAAGGGCCGCCTGGCGGCGCGCTGAACACAATGGCATACTGGGCACAACACCTCCCACACGCCAAAACAGCGCCTTGTGCCTCTACCACAACTGCTTCGAAGGCGAAGGGCAGCCGCTCCCAAGAGAATTAATAAAGCTGAAGTTAAACACAGGGAGAGGAGGGTGGGATGAAACACAACGCCCAGCAAGTCTGGGCACCCCTCACAGTCTGAGGTCTACACTTACATTTTGGCCTGGAGCCAACACGCATTGCGTATAGCATCACTGCAGCACGACCTAGGCGACGCGTGACATGACAAAGGATGTAATGGAAGTGGAGCGCAAGAACGAACACTGTTCACCTAGCCTGCCCGAAGCACGAAACAGCGACGCGTTCTGTGCACTCACATTCACTCGTTTCATGAGCTCCTCGCCCATAGCGCGCTGGTGACCCCTGAACACGCAGGGGCCGCGCGGCGGCACGCCGAACACAGCGAACACTCATGGCATATGAGGGACAACACCTCCCAGAGCGCTATACACACTCACCCCAACGCACTATCCCCTTTCAGGCGTGAGAACACGTGCGCGCAGTTATCCCTCCGGACCAGCCCACACGCTAGCGCTGTCGCCTTTGCTGGCTCGGAGCTCTACCATGCGTCCGGGCTGAGATGCTGCAGCTGCAGCACTCCCACTGTGCCAAGAAACTGAAAATGGAAGAGCGCGCTGCAAGTGGGAATTGCCAAAAAAAAACAGGAACTGTGCTGGCACGCACCTGGAAGCGGCGCAACCTGTACGAGGGGTCCCAAAAACCAGCTCGCGAAATGCCATCAGCCCAGTTGCTGCAGCTAGGCAGGCTGAGCGCAGCTCGTTATTGAGGCGGGCGCTGCCCAAGGCACACTGCCTGTCCTTGATGGCAGCAAGGCCTGCGCGGGCCAGAAGGCCACACACCCGAACAACTTGCTAGCCTGCCCTCGCTTGAGGGTGTCTGTTGCCACTGCTTCCTGAATGACATCCTCGATCTTTTGGATCAGGCGTTCACGCGCCCAAACCCAAGTGCTGCCCTGCTGGAGCTCAGTGAAATCGCGCGTGAGCCCTAGGAAATCGCCTGTCGTGAGCTACTGTGCTACTTGCTCCTGCGTCTCGAAGCATTGGATCATCGAAGCACAGCTACACGAGGGCACGCAGCAGCCTCCTGCAGACACACTGCAGGAACACGGGAAGCCGGTTGAAGGCTGACGCTGCAAGGCCCGAACAACACCCCTTCAAGCACCTAAATCGCTTGCCACCGGCTTGCGCCGCGACGCCCGCCCAAGAGTGGTCAGGGCGCATATAGGGATCTTCCGACACGCATTAGGCAGGTCCCCTCCTGCGCTTCCTAGTTATTAGTGCGTCTGGCCACTCAGGGCAACCTGCGCCGCAACGTGTCATCTCAGCGGCAAGGGCTTGCGCGCGCAAACAAGGCTGGATTGCTGAACAAAACTGGAGCTTGTTGGCATCGCTGCGAAACTCACTCTGTCTACCAGCCACGGCATCATCTATGACCCGCTTCTTGCTGCTACTCTGAGTGATGGCAAAACGCCGAATCAGGAACAACGGAAAAACAGCCCGCGGACAAAGGACGTGTCAGGCCAGGCAAACAGCGCCACGCGCACGGCAAACCAGGCAAGTTGGACATGGAGATTGACAGAACGCACGTCAGGATGCTGCGCAGCACGCAAGCGCTGCGACACAGTCCACAACCGCCTGGCCAACTCGCTCAGAAGCGCCAAGGCGTCCGCCCTGCTTCTTTGGAGGTGCTCGCCACGCAAGCGGCTGCAAACTGCACAGCACGCTCCACATTGGCTTTCCAGTCACGAGGACATCCCGCAACTGGACACGCAGGGCACGCTGAAAATGGCTGTTGCGCGGCGTGATGGGAGGCAACGCATGGCGCTTGCTTGCAGCGGCACATTGGTCTGCTGCGCTTGCTCGCTGGGCCATAACACACGCTGAGCCCAGGGCTGTCAAAAGCACTGAAATGCGGTGAATTGACGAGGCCTTTGCAAGGAAAGTCACCTTGGAGTAGAGACTGCGCAGCAGATACTACTGAGGACTGGCTGATGGGAAAGGCGACCCCCCGAGATATCCGCAAGCCAGCCACCGCAGCAAAAGAAGCACGCGCCTAACCTTCGCAGGCCATTGGTTTCTGCAAGAACAGCCCTGACAGGAAATCACCATGGCAGCCCTGACAGGAAATCACCATGGCACAAATACGCGGCGCCGCTTACCCCAAAGCTCCGACAAACGCCGCTCTAGGCCGGACTCTGCCTGACTTAGGGAACCGCTGCGCGCACTTAAAAACCACTAGCTCAGGACTGCCATCCGGGCCAACTACAAAGAAGCGAAAAAAAAGCGGGCACGCCGGAGCTACCGCCTAGACCTTTCGTGAGGATGCCATGGCCATGATGGCGGCGCACGTTGGCTTAAGACCCGCTGCAAAGTCTGCAGCCCGCGTCGAGCGTAGGTTTCCTCGCCCGTCGCCACATGTCTGAATTGGAGGAAGACGCTGGATGCGTAGCGCAGCGTACCCCTTGCCCACGGCCCAGTCAAACGCTGCCGCAACAAGTGTGAAGCGCAGAGACGCAGAGTACTCAGCTTCTACGGCGCTGGGGTAGCTGACCCCAGATTCATCGACTCACGGCGACCACTCACGCCGTTGGTGTAGATGCTCGCGTTCTGCACGCTGACTACATTGCGACCGATTTCCGTGCTTCTAGGAGCACCCACGCTAAGGGCTTGAGATCACTCCATGCGCCTGAAGCTTGGAGAGCCCTCTCCACGCTACCAAGCCAACGCAGGCTGTTGCTCGGGTTCTCGCGCATGCCACGCGCGCGCGACACGCGCTTGGACGACTCCAGCTCTGTGATCGGGCATGGGCCGCTGGGCAGCCAGAAGGATGACGCGGGGCAAGCCTCTGGGAAACGCTGGGCTTCTGAAGGGATTGGCGCCCGCCAGTGGGATTTGTCTACTTCTGCTCTTCGCGCTGCAGTCTATTGCTGCAGCACAGATGTGCCGGAAAGTAGCGTCTCACCGATTGCCCACTGCGCTGCAGGGTCAGCGACGTCAAAAACAGGATTGATGGCTATATCAATCCGCTGCAGCACTTTCCAAACTGCCCAATGAAATCCACTGCAAGAGGACAACGCGGCCCTGACAGCAAGTCCAAAAACACAGGCGTTCGCGGCTGGTCCAACGGTTGAGCCGTCGAGAGCCAGAGAGATTCTCGGTTTCGCGCATGTTGGGGGAAGGCCTTGCAACGTCTCGCCATGCCGCAGCTCCTTCGAAATTTGACCGGCTTGCTCTTCATGAGACAGGGCCTCGCTGCTAACTCGTCAGGAGGCTGGGGGCAAGGGCGGCAGCTCTCTGCCCTGGGCAGTGAAGGTAGGCGCCAGCCTAATGGCATCTCGCCCGCGGCACCCGGCAAGCACTGCCTTAACACGGACACTGTTGGCAAAGCGCTCGCTGGAGTTTCCTTTGTAGTTGGGGCTGTGTCAACTGCCGCCGCCCCCGGGCAGGGCCAAGGCGTACAAGTAGACACGCAGCTGCTGCAGATACGTGAGCCAGGTCTGTTTGCTGCCTGCTGCGTCATCCTTGTCGCCCTGCTCGGCGATGTAGAGCAGACTCCCAGCCACCCGGCGGCGCTTGCAGTGGATGTGCGTTGGTTCAAGACGGACCTCACGTCAAATATCTACGACGTCCATTGAGCGCTTAGTCAGCGCTCGCTGCGCTTTAGACACCCACCTGTCTGAGGGGGTGTTATCAGGAGGTGACGCTGGCAAGCTGCGCCTTGGTCGTCGTGGGCACCCTCAGCTTGGCACACCGCGGCCCGCGCCCGTCGCAGTCGTGCCTTCTGCAGTCTTGCGTGAGTCAGGCTACTCTCCACTGGCACGAAAAAAGATGCTAGCAGTGGGCAGACACACGCGCCCGCAGCCAAGGTGTTGAACAAACACTGTCGAATGACTTCTCAGGATTCCTGCCTGGGCGCGGCATGCTCCACCGCAACGCTAAGGTGACACGTGCTGGGAAACGAGTGTCCCTGCTCTTCCTCGAACGATTTGCGGATGCAGGTGATGATAAGCTCCACGTGGCGCTGCTGAAACACACAGGCCTCCGATTGCCTAGGGCGCCTGCAATGGCTTCGCAGGGCCCCAGCGAGCTACCGCAGTTGGCGGGTCTAGCTGAGAAGCAAGCGTAACCAGCACACATGAAGCTCTACGCGCCCAGCTGAACAGCTGGTATTTATTTATCCAGGAAACGCATCGAAGCATGCTGGAAATCAAGTTGCGCGTCGTGGTGCATCGAAAGATGTTGGCGCATCACGTGGCAACATATTTTCCGCCGGCCGCCAAACAAGCAAGGGAATTGTCTTGGCCAGAGATCTTGCGAGACCCTTGTTCATGCCCAGAGCCATGGAAGTCCTGGTGCCTGCCAATGGCATTGTGCTAAGAGAGGTAAGAACGCAAGTTTGACATTGGTTTGGGCTCGTGCGGAAGAGACAGACCGTGAAACAGCGGACGCAACAAGATTCGCCGAAAGGCAGAACGACTCGCTGCGTCCGCAAGAGGACAAGCTTTGATGCCAAAAGGCTGCCGTCGCCCAAGATGCGAACACGTGTTCAAAGAACATATGTGACGTGAGAGATGGTTAGAAATTGAGCAGGCGTGACAAAACATCTCGCGGAGTGAGCTCTTGTCCTTCTGTGTGAGGAAAACTGGACTGTAGCGCGTGGTCCACTGAGAGTCTTGACGGCGCGTGCGTGTGCAGTTGGTACTTCAGCGCCTTTAAAGGGGCCAGTTTTGGAGCGAGTGTTGCGTTGCAGTAGAGCACATGACGGCAGCGCAAATACGGAAAACCCAGCGTTCTCCACAACACTCGCTGTGCTGATAGTCGTCGCTCTTCCCGTGATAGGCGAGGCCTTGCGAGGTAGGCTGACGGGGGCCCGGCAGGAAGTTACCTCAATGCGTAGCTGCTATGTCTGCTGTTTCGAGGGCGGTCTGATCTACATCAGCTTGCCGCGTTTGTAATGCCGAATGCACATGTGACCACGTGCAAATGCTGCGACAAAGCCAAAGCTTGTGTCCTCTGTCCTCTGCGTGGCTATGACTAGACATGGCGTGCCGTGACCTGAGCCCACCGCCCATATTAGGCAAGTGAGACAGCTCAGCTTGTGTTTTTGTGTTGGCTTTCTACGTTGGCAATGCTGACGTCGGACAGGCGCTGTTTGCAATTACTAGCGCTTGTTCTTCCGAGGTAGAGGAGCAACGCAGTCGGCTGCTGTGTTGTCATGCGCAGCGTTAGCGCATGCCGCGTTTTTTCCGAAAGCCTGGCGAAGGGTTTCTTAATGATGGTGATGGATGGACGTGTGATGTTAGATGGCGTGACGGTGGTGTTGTGATGATAGTGCTACGCGGATTTGTGATGAAAGGTTGTCGCGAGGTATGGAATGTAGGATGGCGGCGTGAGGTCTCGGATAATAGGATGGCGTGAAGCCGGTCTAATCAGGTTGTCCTGAGGTCCCGGATTAAGGCCGTCGTGAAGGTCGTGAAGTATCGGATGGATGGATGTTTGGCTGGACGATGGATGATGAACTTCTGAGTCGCTCTTCAAAGAAAACGCCTGGCGACAATCGTTTTCTAGTTGCGGTTCACACGGCTCTCGAGCTCCTGGTAAGCATGTAGAGTCTGCAGTGCCTTGCGTTCAAAGTGCAGGCGCTGAAGCCGTGGAAGCAACTTGCCGGCTTTGGTTGCAACAACGATTCTCAAGTCGCATCAGTATGAAGGTTCTCAGCTCCAATATTGCCACGGCCATTCAGGAGATTACTGAATGGATGTGGCCCCAGCGCAAAAAATTCAGTGCTGCTGGTCAGATAGCCTTCGCATTTATCGAGTCGGATAAATGTGAGTGGTAGTCAGCCAGCAACGAGTCGTAAAGTCGGGTGTTGCATCTGCGTGTACTGGGGCGGAGTTCTGGTGGAATAGGAAGGCCTCCGCTGCTGCATGATGGCCGTTGGCCCAGTGAGAAGAGCGATCGCAAGCTTTTATAGAGATTCATCAAGCTGCCTGCGTCACGCTTGCGCAGCTTAGCGTCCGGAATTTTGGGTTTCTGACCTTTCGTCCCATGTCTCCTCTTGTATCCTTTTTGTGTTGGTTCCCATTTGATCAATAAGGACTTGTTCCTTGTTGAGCATGCGTCCCCGTCCGTCCTCCCCGTGATCCGTGGACTTTATGGTGCAGTTCCCCTCAGAACGGCGTCGAATCGTAAAGTCCAACTTGTGCGAAATGTTGGACTTGATTGTGCGATTCCCCTTAGAGCGCGACAAATCTGCGGCAAAATAAAAACTCTTAAGTTTGTTTGCTTGTCAAACCATTTGGATTTTATGATCGGTGCCGTTCTAAGGGGAATTGCATCGTAAAGTCGTCCACCATTTTCCCACATTTGGACTTTATGGTTTCTTGCTGTTCAAAGGGCAAGTGAATCGTAAAGTTGGCGAGATTGCAAAGGCTGTGCAATGTGCGTGCGGCGGCCTCCCGACATTGTGCGATATGCGTGTAATTTGTAATTCCTCGTGGTGGTTCGTGATCTGGGATGGCGTCTCGCCGACTATTCATGCCACGCAGGTAGTTGATGGCGTCTTCGCGAAAAACTGTTAACTCCAGGCAAGCCATGGCATGGTTGGCAAAGATTGTGGAGCTGCCCTGGCCATTGTGGCTCTGGATTTTCAAGGCGCCGCGTGAGAAGCAGCGTGTAGAGGGTCTTCCGCCTCTCTGAATCTCTTAGTTTTCTTGGTCTGGCTGGTTTGGAACGAGCGGGCAGACAATGCCATGCGCATCGTACTTGTTCCCTTCTCGCTTTGGTTGGGGAGCCCCTTAACTTTGGATGTTAGGCAACTCAAGTGGAGCGAACTTAGCGCGGACGGCGTGGACTTGCAAGGGTCGCGTGCCGCGCTATAAGCTTCTTAGATGGGGCGCTCGGGAACGCCGTTTGCGGTGGCCGGTGATGGCGTATCATGTGGATGGTTTGTGCCATGTGGTCCAGCTCCTGGCCAACGCTTCTTCCCCGCGCGTACGCCGTCAAAGCAGCACATTTGTGCGCTACACCCCAGAGGCGTGCCGTTGGAGCAAGTTTGGCGAGATAACTATCCCAAAGGTCGAGCCCGGCGTCGTTCATGGACACCACAGCTCCAAAGCAGGCAGGTCCGGCGCAGCATCGCTGCCACAATCTGGGAGAAGGCGGCCGTGCCCCTGGGCAGCGTTTGGGAGACACAACGAACCCAAACAGCGCGAGCAAATCATCAACGCGTTGCTGGGTTGCAGCGGCGAAACAAGCCCAGTCCAGCGCTCTGCGTAGCCTTCCGCAGACACACTGATCGGGCAGCCTGTGAAGAGCCACAGCTGCTGAAATTAGCCCAAGCAGCGTGCTCTAGCATGCTTTTATAGTGTCAAACTTGTGACCTCTATCCACGCGGCCATGACAAGCCACACCACAGATGAACAGGCCCAAATATAGTCCTTAGTTTCAGCCGCGAAGTCCACGTCCCTCCGCCACTCCATTGTCAAGCAACGCTGCCAGCCAAATCGGGTATGTGAGCCACGTCCAAACTACACATATTTGTAGGTTATAGAGAACGAATAAATCTTCATGGCGATTGTTTTTACTCTTCTTCAACATGAGGCGGCGCCCAGGAAGTAAATCACCAGTGTAGTGCTAGGAAGACGCTAGGCCAGCGCTAGGGATGTGTTAGAACATCTGAATGGATCATATCTTGAAGGGATGGATGAGTTGCAGGAAGGGGTACAGTGCAGCCTTTGATTAGAATCGAATGGCAAAACCAGCTCCGCGATAGAAGCTTTATCTACATCCAGCAATTCCGATACAAACGTGCTTTGTAACAGTAGGCTGACTTCAAGCTTCCGACAGGAGGCGGCGCCAAACTTTCAACCATTCCAGGAGCTTATCGAAAATTTGGGTCACACGCGTTATGTTTATGCTCCATCAAGATTGCTTAGCAATGAACAGACGGCTTGATCGTCATCATCGTTTTACACCTTAACAAACATCCAACCAGCAGTGCAAAGCACTTGCCTGCCCTAGGAATTTCGCCTGTGCAAGAATCAAATTGCACAAGCTAGACGATGCTGAGTCACACAAGCACAGTCTTGCTCCGAAAGTCTCTTTCCACGGATATGGGACACGCAGTCAAAATATCTTGCCTGTGCCAGAGATGGCCGCTTCGCGCGTGCCAACTTGAGGACGCGGATGCCTGCCAGCTTTGAAAAAGGCTCTGTCAGCGCTTGGCAGCATTCGCAGCAAGCACTCTCAGTCAGTGCTGACACCAACCTTGGTACCAGCTCGCAGTTGCCGCAGTTGCTCATCCCAGCCAAAAATTGCTCACAGAGAGCACGCTACCAACGGCGCTTTCCATCATTGCCATGCGGCCACGCCCGTGCCAGGCCCTAAGACATGATGCAAGCGACGCTGTTCGGGGCAGACCATCCCAGCAGCACCGATGCCAATTGGTCATGCAATCGCACTCCACATGCTGCCCCAACGCAGTGCTGCACGTTCAGAGAAAATACGACAACGCATGGTCCAGCCTGGAGACAAGGTATGTTCAACTAAATTATCTGTTAGCGGGCGATAATTTTGCAAGAAGCTGCAAAGATGTACAGTTTAGAGCGGACATATTCTTCCCTCCGACCCACTATTGTACAGGCTGTACTCGCAGTGAGACTTAATGCCAAAGCGCCCAACCATAAAGCAGTGACTTGCAAATATCGCCAGCCGACTGCGGAAGAACGGATTGCATATAACCAAAGACTTGCCGTGTTGTGGCTGTGGCCCGATAGAGAAGAACGGAAGGAAACGTCGGCAGCACAAGCAGCCAGGGAAACCTACACAATGGTACACAGGAAGCCGAAACAAAGTTACATCCCAGACACACGTGGAATCTCGGCCAGAAAAGACAAGACGTGCACAAACAAATCAAAATTGCTGAAGTAATCGAACTCAATCAATAAGCACACCAAGAAAGGCAGGAGAAAACCCGTCACGACCAGCTCAAAAAGATTCCACACCAGAAAAAGCAATGGCAAGGGTTAACAAAAATGAAGCATGACTTGCAGCCTCGATTCGTGCAAATGAGAGATATCAGCGGAAACAATGCCACCAGTCGAAGAGCAGAAAACATTAGTGAATATCTAGAGTAGAAGCATTGGTGCAATGAAAGTGTTGTGTAACTTGACAGGAGGAATCTCATTAACAATTGCCAAAACAATTTCAGCACATACCTTCTTTCACTAGGGGAGATGGAGATAGTTTTATCAAAGCTCACATCTGACAAGCAACCGGGGCCAGGTGGACGAGTAATGGAATTGTTCAAACGGATGCATATTGGCAACAGGGAACATATTTTACGCGTTCTAAACAAGTGGTGGGAAGCGGCATCTGCGCCCGAAGAACTATCTTCAGCAAGAGTGGTTTCAATTTATATGAAAGGAAACACAGACGATCCGGCCAATTATCGTCCTATTTTTCTCTCCAATTCTATGCACAAGGTTTACATGTCTGTGATTCGCACCGATTGCAACAAACATTGTCCCATGCAATATGGGTTCAGACAGAGTCCAAGAATTGCGCACGACATTGATTTAATTTGACGCGTCGCTCACAGGATATTGCAAACAGCAAGTCAGCAATGTAGTCATTACTTTGCTTGACTCGGAAAAGCATTTGACGGACGACAGCACGACAAACTAAGTATCGTTTCACACCGTTTAGGGATACCTCAACATTTCAGTAATGCAGTTGATAATGATTTCGCGCATGCAAATTTGACGTGGAAGGTCACGAGGATGAGGCAGATTTTGTGTCGGGTCCCGGTCGTGAGTTCATGTTCCTGTACTCAGTGGCTACTAGGCCAAGGCAGATCAGCACCAACATGGCATCACGAATACAGCAAATCAGGCATAAAGAAACAATTTGCGGGAACTATTGTTTGTTACAGTCAAGCGCCATGGAAAATGATGTTAATTCCAACCTCTCATTGCCTACGATCAATGCAAGACATACCGGGATTGATTTCGAAAGCATGTAGTATGCTGGTGATACTCTGTTAGTTATCACAGCCACGCGCGCAGCACATGACATTCTTCATCAGGTTGTGTTGGTATCTATACAGTCTGGCTTACAGTTGAATAGAGACAAATTCCCCTCCATTGCAATGAACGGAGGCAATCACATAAGATTCAGGCATGGCGCCAAACTCAAAAAGGTAAATGAAACTACATACTTGGGACACCAGCTTACACAGAACCTCCATGCTCGACACGAGATATATCACAAAATGAAACAAACGCTCGTCACATGGTATCACTTTGAATCCTCATGGAAAGCAGCTGGATCCTCCAAAAATGGAAACTCGAGGTGTACGATGCAATAATCAAAAAATGAACATAAATAGATAAGCTATTAAACGGTCTTGAAACATTTCACCTTACAATGGCAATGCAAAGCAAAAGTAAATGCCTTTCAACTCAGATGTTCCCGGAAAATCCTCGGCCTACAAAAGACGCATGTAAATCGTGCGAACACGAACGAAACTGTGATGCACGAAGCAAATGAAGAAATCAACACAAACCATTCGGGAAATATTAGAGTGTTCAAACTGTTCTCGGATTTGGTGCTGGAACGTCGCGGCAGATTAGCAGGTCACATTGTTAGAGCTCCCCCAGAGGATCCTTTAAGACAAGTCAGCTATCAGCCCAATTCCGCAAACAGTTATACAGTAGGGAAGAGACGTGTTGGAGGACCAAGGCAACAGTGGTTATTCCATTCCAACAAATACATGTGGGAAAATGTTCTTGGCCATACCTTCAACCTGTACATAAGCAGCCAGGGCCAAAACAACGAAATATTCATAACAGCAATGGCAAATGACCGCCAATTTTGATTTTCCAGCCGCTCTCCACGAGCCAGCGGCCTCCCAAGCCATCAAAGCGATGCGAGGCTATGGCATTGAACAAAAAACTGCCCCAACGCCTCCTCCTGGGTGAAACCAGAACACGTCGGCCGGGTGTCTTAGGTCAGGGGACTCACACTCAAGAATACACTCATACGTCTCCGGCCGTCGGATGACGGGCTCCTCATATTCCAATGAGCTCAGAGCTGTAACGCGCTCGAATGTTGCAAAACCAGGTATGGTCATGCTCAGGGGCCATGGTCGCGGAAAGACACGCGAGCCATGGGGTAGCTGGAATCCATCCACTGTGGACCTTCCGAAATACCTGAGGGCATCGTGTGTTGCAAACAACTCTGCCGCTGCGCACTTGCGGTGTCCTTACTTGGAAGCACGCGTCCTATGAAAGAAATGCCTTACATGAGTGCAACGTGTAGGGAGCAATCATCTCAGACACTGGCATGCTCTGGCTTATACAAGTCATGCAGGGCTCTCCCAGCAGATGCGTCCTGTGTGAAGAACCAGAGAACGGGCACGGAATCTAAACGCAGACATGCCTGGGCCTCTGGCCAAACTACGCTCAACAAGATGAGGAGAATGGCCCGCAACGCTTGGCCAATCGAGAATTCCCATTCTGCTCCACCCGCGTTTTTATTTGTTGTTTGAATGGGTGCCAATTGCCCCGAACTGGGCGGACGGCGTGGCATTTCTAAACAGATTCGGTGGTGCCTCGCGGCGGATGCATCGTTCCAACAAGCACACTAGCGCAATTCTTGTGTTCCCGTGCCCGTTTGCCAGCATGTCCGGTTTTTTGATGTTCAGCATTCTGGCATAATTCATGGCACGGTGATTTGGGAGGTTGGTGGTTTCCAGCGGTGGAATGAATGTTTGCCCATCTGTGCGTTACTGACCTCCGTTCTTTCGGCAGTTGTGGTAGACACACAGATATCCATTGGGACACGTCATGAACCGGGCAATGTGGTAGTGGAAGTGACATGAACATCGTAGCATCTGTTTCATTTCACGTGCGTCAATGTTTGATGGAACATGTTTTTCATCCCTCGGCTTTTGTTGATTTTTTGTAGCAGACATTGACATTTGCGTTTAGAAGACCCCAGGCCCAGAAATCAAGACAACAGAGCTCTTTCAGTCCTGTCAACCGATTTCTCACAGCGGTCCAGCTGGCACAACTAGGTGTGCAGAAATGCTTCACAAAACAAGTACGTAGGATTTTCTGCAGGTTGTGGAGCACTGATTCTGTTTTCAATGTGTCGTGCAGGTGTGGCAGCTGCAAGCCGGCCTAGCCGGCTTCTACCGGCAGTCAAGTCTTCGGCCGCAGCCTTGGTGTCAAAAACATCTTGGGATCACTTTGCTGATTTCAGTCTCTCACCGCTTTAAGATGGGGTAGCAGGAACAATCTTCGCAACGTGGTTTGCTTGCTTTGAAGGCATCTAGCTGCACTTTGCCAAGCCTTGAATGCAGGAATGCAAATATGGAGCAAAACAGAAATGGAGGCCCTGTCCATCGACCAAGTCATTGCTGCACCGGGGCCAACCCTCCTGCGGCCGGGCCGTGCAAAGGCCATGCACGAATTTTGTAGAGTTGTGCTGCGCATAAGTTTGATGTTTCCTGCACCGTCCCCACCTTCGCAAGAAGCGTTATATGTGGCATGTTTCCCGTCCTCAACCCATCACGAAGCTCAGACTTCAGAACGCCTTCCAGTTCTGCAGAGGTCACGGCCTTCCTTTTCAACATCGGGAAGGAGCTGCTGCATTTGGAAGTGTATTTCCGAGGTATATCCCTGTTTGTAGGCAATGCCGGATGTTTCAGGGTCTTCTTGGACGGTTAAGGCCGCAGGTGCCGACTGATTTGAAAGCTTCACAATGTGCTGAACCGAGTGATGTCGTCCAGAAGGCTCTTAGGACTGGCGACATCTTGTGACTCTACAGGCAACAACACGGTGCATTCCCAGACTGCTCCGCTGCCTCCCTCTCCTGCTTGTGAGATTAAGTTCTGGCACTTCAGGATGCTGAGGAAGCAGACAAGATTGACCAGGAGACGGATCAGGCCGAAAGCCGCCTTGTCTGAGAGCCGCTGTTAGACGTAGAGCGCGGCAAACCACAAAATGGACTCTGTTGAAACGGCTGTATCGGCTACACAAGGTGTTCGACAGGAGGCTCTTTGCGTATGCGACACTTCTGCCTCACTTCGTAGCCATTCCCAACAGAGCATCCTCAATTCCCAGAGACAGACAGCCTCCAACACCCGTGGCCCGTGGCTTCAGGCAGAGATACAGGAAGAGGCCAAGAGCATTGTCAATGCTGTGACTCGGCCGAAATCCTGTCCAGGTGTCTGCGCATAGCATGTTGCTTCGGAACACGGCGGTTTGGAAGGTTTGATATTTGCGGTGTAGTAGCTTTTAGTGCATGCTTTCAAGCCCGGTGCATAGAACCCAGCCGGATCTCAGTGCTGTGGATTAAGCTCTTGGCCAGGAGAGCGCAGGTTACGACACGCCCACGGGCGTTGAAGAAGGCGAGATCGAGGAGTTCGATCATGAGCTTGAGGAGGAGCGTCTGTGGTTCAGATTTTAGTTTCACATATTTTCACATCAAACTGTGAAGCAGTCAGAAGTTGCAGGAGCCCGCCGAGGCCCCGAGTGCTGCTCTGGAAGAGCCCCGGGATCCCCGCGCCTCGCCGGCAGGGAACCTCATGGTCCGCTTGGACTTATACTGGGACTTACACAGATCGCTAAGCGAAAGCTCTGGGATTGGAGATATGACCTTGAGCAGCTCTGGAAGGACGCAAGCCTGTAAATTGCAGACACAGGCTGTCCCTGCCCTGCATGGGATCCCATGAAGACGGCGTTGCCAGAAGACCTGCAGCACGCATCCTTGGCGCCACTTCGGCAGGCAATCAGACTGTACCCCGCATTTTCCTTTCCACGCCCGGGAGAGGCTCTGGAACCAAACTGAGGATGCTGCAGCGTCGGATCCGACCTGAAAATCGAGTCGCCCCTTCACTTCGCGGATGACTCAGCACACGCTACAGAAACGCATGACTGAATGCATGAAGCACACATCAGAGCTGGAGCCCTTGAGGTGAGGCAGCGGCTTCGGTGGAGCACGCCGGGCGCCTCTTTGAGGTGGGCAAGAACCGTGCGCACCCCGCAAGATGGCCACAATCGCCACAGAGCTCCAACGCGAAGCACCAGGGTCTTGCGTAAAGCCTTTGTTTTTCACACAAGACTCTGTGCTGCGTTTAGAACCCAGAACACTTCCTGAGTCAGCAGACCAACTGGCAACACGAGTCTTCTCAACTGGAAAATTTGCATTAATGCTTGATTTTTTCATTGCAAAGAACAGCGATGACTGCAACAGCATCCCAAATACTGTTTGGTACCACCCTGGCCTGATCTCAGATTTGGAAATTTGAGGATTGCCCTATCTGCGCTATTTGAAGTGCTGCTAGGGCTGGGTGCGCCGCCGCCAGCAACTTGCCGAGGTGCCACATGTATGGCAAACACAATCTAGTAATCTTTGTTGTGGAGTCAGTGAAGGAAGCTATTTGGGGAAATGCCTGGTTGTGGAATGTTGCGGAGATGTGGCGCATCCAAGTGCATGGCAGTGTTGCAGCTGCCTTGACCCTGATCTTAGTGACAGGATATTACAGCGGCTATGCCCAAATCAAGCCGAGTCTTTGAAGGGCATGGCAAGATGCCTGGGCAGGTTCTGCCAGAGCTGTCGCTGAAGATGGAATATTGCCGGAACCGAGCCAAGGCGCCAGCAAGGCTGCGGCATGTTGCTGTCCCTAGGATACGTTGCGAAGGACTTTGCGGCTTCAGCTGCTGAAAATGCGCTGCGGGCACTGAAGGAGCGGGTGGATGAGGCCAGACGACTCCTTGACTCGCTGGTCTTGGGTTCAGCAGTGCCGAGTTGGACGGGTTGTCCAGGGAGCTGAGGAGGAGGAGGAGGCCGAGCAACAGGAGGAGATGGCAGAGGCGGGGAAGCGTTGTGAGCTTCCTTCAAGACTTTGAGCGCATGTTGTGTTGTCCTCTTTGAGTCCAATGCAATTGCTTCCGTAAAGAGCTGGCTGAGAAAAATAGCATGTGAAAGTCTGCGGATGCCACCCTACTGTAGCTGTGGAACTTTCAGCAAAGATGATACGAATGCCTAAGCCCCTCTCCACAGCTGCCTTGCGGTATGTCGAGAAGCAGACGCTCTGCTTCGGTCATTGGAGTCCCAGATTATGCTCAGTTCTCAGAACCTGCTAGGGCCAGATGGCCTATGAAGCCATCGGAGAAGCACGGTCGGATTTCGATCAGTGGGCCCAGGACTGCGTTGGGTGTGCAGTCTCATGAGTCCTTTGCTGACTCCGCAGCTTGCTGAGGTAACAAGCTGATGAGTGGACCTTCCTATAAAATCAAAAGCTCCGCCACCGGAACCTGACCCCTGTTGAGGAGGAGGATGCAGGGCTGCATTCTCACAATCAGCAGAACTACCTTGCCGCTTGGACAAGAAGTTTGTCTGGCTCGTGCAGTTTCCTCAGCCCAAGTTGTATGAGATGCTGGCTTCCGACTGCCTGAGTGCTGGCCTTCGCAACTACACTACTATGCACTACTATATTCTGGAATTACCCATAGCACCAGGACTTTTCGTGTTGTGACGATCAATCTGCGCTACAAACAGTTGTTCTCTTGTTTGCTTCTGTACAACGTTGCGCGTGGAACGGTTAGAGTGCATTCCAGAAAACTTGTCCCACGCTATCAGTGGTTGCAGACTTTTGGTCGGCGCCTGGTAGACTCTGCTTGCTCTTGATTTACCCGAACTTTGTCATTATGTAGCTGCCCTCCTTGGTATCACTCCATGCTGAGCCTAATTCCAGAACAGATCTTCCTAAGGCTTGCAAATCCTGCTGCCTTCTCTTTGCGAGGTAATACCTAATGGTCTTTTTGACATGCGGAGCAGCAATCCAGGATACTGGCGTGACATGCGTGACGTGTAGCCCAGCTTCAAGTCTATGCGTAAGCTCCGGCTGAGGATCAGGCCTCCTTCCTTTCCTTTGGCCCTTCGCGTGGCAAGGCGCCTTGCAAGGGCTTTATACGTACATGGAGTCATGAAATAGGACATCAGATTATCAGGTTCAAGGGTCAGAGCTTCTAATTCAACCTTGGGTACTCTGCGTGATAGGGGTTGTTCTACCAACACAAACCAAGTCGTCAGACGGCGATGTGCTCTTCTTTTTTCCTCCAGACTTGAGCAGGCCACGCACTCCGCCTTCCAGGCAGCGTTAGATGTGTTGACGCGCTTTCCACATTAGGGGACTTGCAAAATGCAGGTTTCCGTCATGCTGGACATCATGCCAGTGTCACGCATCGAACGTTGCATATTTGGGTTGACAGCGTCACGGTCAAGGTGTTAGATCCCTATAGATGCAAAGAGCGGGCTACACACCAGTGGCCAGCAATAGACAATCGCTGTCTGCTGCCAGGGCCAAAGTCCTGAGCAACTAGCGCAGGCGATGGCCCTGAGAGTTCTTTCGGACTGGGGCAGTTGAGAAATGTTGTGCCGTGGACCGAAGTCTGCTTACAGTTGCTCTGAGGCGATGGGTCAAATCTACGGCAAGCCGCCTGGTGCAGCAGGCTTGCGGCAAGCATCTGCACGGCATGTAACTTGGATGTTACTGAACAAGTACGGGACAAGTTCTATTCAGACGAGAAGACAACCTGTCTGGCATCTTTTGTGGAAGTACACTTCTCATCGGGACTTCTGTGCGCAAGGAAAGGCCAGATCGCATTCCGCGCCACAATTGCTTGAGTTGCAATGTGTGTAAGCGGAATTGGAGCTAATGGAATCCAAGACGTTTCGAGATCTGGAGCGACAAAGGCTGGCTGCACTGCAAGCCTCGTTGTCTCTTGCTTGCCAGAACCCCACCGAGATTCAGTTCCATGCTACGCAGGTTTTCTATGCGTGAGAAGAGGTATAACAAACCGTTTACATCATCAAACCCCGCCAGACGACAAGTGATGACCCACGCACCGCTTTCCGACAAAGAACAGCTGTACATCACATGGGTTGTGTTGGAGGCTACATTTGGTTTTTCCTCACATGCCACGGCTCCCAAAGTGGCAGGACCCCAGGCTCTCCATCCGGGAGAAGCGGAGGCGCCAGAGGAGACAGCCGAGGAGCCGTCGCCTACTCAGGAAGAGGCGGGGGTGAAGGCGGATGTGCCTCAGCTACTCGCGGCTGTTTTGGCGTGAAATTGCTGAAAGCTGTCCCTAGGGATCTGTAAGCATGATGATGCCACCTCACTGCACCCAACCGCTCGCAATTCACTGCAGATCAGAGCCAATCCAAAGCGGTTGGTAGCTTAGGAAGGAAAGGCAACTAGCGATCAAGCGGTTGGTTGCAGAGAAGCGACGGGGAGAGTATCAGGAATACTTCGACTACCTAAACAACAGTGACCGTTGTGCACAGCAGGCCCTGGAGGCCGAGCAGGAGGAGGAGGCATTCCTGACATGCAGCTGGTTATGCAGCTTGGAGCCAGAACACTCCCGGCAAAGCACTCTGTCAACCGCGCGCAGGGTTAGCTTTGATGGCATTTCTGATCAGGATGTCCTGCAAGCGGAGGAGGTCGAAGATTTCGGGGTCAAGGCCCTACAGCCGGAGGGCCATTCTAGCTCAACGGCTGACAGCTCGGAGTTTTTTTTGTAGGGCAGACATGAGTGTGCTTGCTGTGCTGTTGGCTGCGCGTCAGGACAGCATGTATCAACCCGCTGAAGGTATGTCACGCTGTTTGGCTAATTGACAAGTTGGGAGAGTTGGAGAGTCAAAGGGGGCGTGTGGATGCTAAGGACTTCTTCCGCGAATGCGGCGAGTCCTCCTCTCAGCGCTGGCACATGCTTCTGCACGGTTCTCTTCGATACCGGGGCTAGGGCTCCTGGGAGATGTAGATTTGAAGATGTCAGAAGGGGCTGGGACGGGGCTGAGCCGCAAGTGAAAGGCGACACCTTGGCTTACGGGGAAGGTCCGAGCTGCAGGGGCCTGGAATAGACAGAACCTCCATGAATTTGCATGTCAATGTGGCGTGCTGGGGAGGCAAAGTTACACTCAAATCATCACTGCTGCAGGCATTGCAGCAATCTCGGCGTGTGTGTTTCGGATGTGCTGAGTTGAACATATATGATCGGCGGGCTCTCTCGCAATCATGTGTGGGAATTGTGCAGGAACTCTGGCCGAGAACATGTAGTCAAACATGTTTAGCGCATTCGTTCCGCTTCCTTATGCCGCAGAGAGGCATGATCGCATCTGCACATTTATTGGCGCAAGGCTCGAGGAAGAAAAATCCGCAACAGCAGGTTCCCCCTAATAACACCTAGGTGACCGGGCTTGAGGTTTACCTTACTCTTCCTCCCGTTTTATTGATGTTCGGGTTGCGGTCTGTTCAAGCCACGGCAGCATTTGGTTTGCCTTCACGACTATGCGCCCCTGCCCGCATGAATCTTTATGTTTTCTGAGGTTTCGCATTCCTGCCACTGTCCTTGCCGCTCGCCGGGCAGCCAACGAAGCTTACTGGGCTGCTTGACATGCATTGCTGGCACAGGGCCAGAAGCCGTTCGAAATCCTTGCAGACGAGGCTTTCGACCGTGCGATGCAAGATGCAGAGAAGAAGGCGCCGCCCTAAGCTACAACATCAGCCCATATCATGCTTGATCCACCAATTCTCAGGTATCGGCTTGTGCTTCTAACTCAGAAACGCTCAAGCATTAGCCTGACCCCAGCGCGCTGCTTTTCGGCCACTGACCCAATCATCCTCAATGAAGCGTTACGGTCAAATCATGTCAAATCCTGGGAGCCTTCTTGAAGCGTTCAAGGGAAATTCGAGGGAAGGAGTGCCAAACCAGGTCGGATTCGCCATTCAGCACTCCGTTTTGCGTGGTGCATAGCTTGACAGTGAAGCGGCAAACGTGAAGGGCAGGCAAAAGACTTATGAAGTACGATGAGCGTGCTCCCTTCCGTAAGCTGCTGATGCAGCACGCTGCTAAAGCAGTGAAACAAGAAACCCACTGGGTATTGTACTCAAACCACCAGGCAGCTCATGAATCCTGAATGTGCTCTACAAAGCGGGACCGATGAATGGAGGCTTCACTGAGATCTTGTCAGCTTTTTTTATTACCATGGGCTGAGCGCGGACATGGGGTTCCTTCCTGACGTAAATGTGCAATGTTGAATGTAGCTCTCTCCACTTAAGACGCCACGATCTGACTCTGAAGAACGTGCTGCAAGCACGCCGCCGACTCCGTGGAAAAAGGTGGACTATGGAGCCTGCGTTAGGTCCTTGATCGCTGGCTGGATTTGAGCCTGTTGGGTATGCTTCAGTGTCACGTCTTGGTTCTCGATGTGATTTGAGTCTCAGCTTTGCAGCTTGTCTCGCGTTTGGTGAACGGCTCAAGAACGAAATCCTCAGAGTGCGCTGAGTGCGCTCCTCTGACAAGAGGCAGCCTGGAGCTCGGCTTTCAGTGCCGAGCTCTGTGGATTTGGTGATTTGGGCGTTGCTTTCGCAAGGTGGGACTGCCTCCAGCATGGGGGATCAGGCTCCATACAGAGACTGTGGCAACCAACAAACCTCCGACCTGGAGCAAAAAGAGCTTCAGAAGATGGATTTCTGTTGTCGACGCATACCGCAGCTGCTGTATACATTGGTGAAGCACCCTGTGCATTTGCCAGCTGCCTGCCAGATCAACTTGAATGCCGCCTCCACTTTTCGGGTGCGCCAAGCTTGTGTTCACCAGGGTGGGGCTTTTTTTGCACACGCATTGTGTCGGTTTCATTAACCTTGATGTGAAGGCTCATAGCCGTAGATGAAGTCGAACCAACTCGCCATTTTCAGTTACGTGAACATCGTGAACTGGACCACGTAGCGCACTGATCGCTGGAAGCGTTCGCAGACTTGGAGAATGGAGCACTCAATGCTGCTGCACAAATACTGCTGGCCTTGTGCAGGCTCCGCCGAAGTATTCCTTCACACACTCTCCGGTACTTAGCCGCACGCCTCAGAAAGTGTGATCAGCAGTTCTTTGGACAGCCGATCTCAAATGGCGGCTTTCCAGTAGGGCACCAACAGTCTCTATAGGCCTTGATCCGTGGTTGCCTTCAAAGTTGTTGCACATATAATGTCTCAGGTCAACAAAATATTTCTATTCCACCAGTGACACCCTGAGGGCATTCGCTCGCCAAGGCAAGGACAAGCCTTCCAAAGATCCGGGGCCCGGGTGCGCCCCCCCGGTGCACCGCAGCCCTCCTGCTGTGTTTTGTGGGTGATCTTGAGGGTTTGCAACTTGCGCTCAGCCCGGGAAGCTTGAATCGTTGCCACGCTCTGATTTCCTGTTTGGCTTCTGGACGTCCGTCTGACCTGGGTAGAGGTCAGCTTTGTTGAAGGTTGTGAGCTAGGGGACACAAAATGCCAGCGACAGTCCCAACAACATCTCAGTCTTAGTCAAGCATCGATTCAGGCAGTATCCCCAGGTGAAGTCAGAGAAGGAGACCGTGCTTGGCTGCAGGTTCTGCTGTCATATGCACTTCCACTGTTGAAGGCCTACTGCCTACCCTAGACCACAAACAACTTCATTGATTCAACAGCCATGTAATCTCGCAGCAGGAACTGAAGGGCTTTCTTCTCAAAGCGGGCCGTCCTCACAAGCATGTAGAAGTAAGGGAATGCGGGGTTCAGGACAAGCATGCCAAGACGCCGTCTTGGAGCATTGGTGCTGGCTGCCGGGATGGTCCGGGGCCCGGTGCTTCGACATGAGTTCTCTGCTTACGCGGCAAAACTTTCAGCTTTGGGATGTTTTGGGTAGGACTTAAAGCATGCACCCGCATGGCTTCTTGTAAGGCAAGCAGTGGGCCGCTCTGTGCAGGGCTCAGACTGGCGTCTCTCTGAGTGCTGAGACTTGAGATTTCAGACTGCACAACTCCCAGGTTTGCTAAAAGAAGCAGACCGCTTTTTGTGCAGAGCCGTGTGTCCAGCTGATCATCGTTTCTGTGAGCTTTGTGGCTGCGTGTGTGCGTGGTCGAGGTCGAGGACTAGAAGAGAGCTACCGCTCCACTCCATCTAGCTAGCATGCACCCGACTAGTCAAAGTCTTGTGCTCTGTAGTTGTTTAGCTAATTTTTGGAGGTGCTGTGACATCGCCAGCCATTTCTCTTCACACGCCGTGCCAGAAAACATGGTGTGGAACACTGTCGGACGTATTGTTGCAAGAAACGTTACAAGCCTGACCCGCCTGACCCAACTTTGAAACTCTGCCCCATGTGAAGTTGACTTTGCTGCAGGCCTGGCCCAGGACAGTACACTCCAGCGTATCCCGTCTTGGATTGGATGGGGAAGAGTTTTATGGCTGCTTACACATGCTTCCTTCTGCGTTTGCATTCGCGCCAATTGAACCTGAGGAATCCGGCCTTCGTTTCCCCGAAGTGCCACGGCCCAGCTGATTGCTGTGGAGCCACCCAAATGCAGCAGGAGTATCTCTCTTCTTGGCTCAGCTGCGGGCAGACATCATTTGAGAACCACGGTAGTAGTGAGCTTGCTAAGCGTACGATGCTGCAACCACTGGATGATGATGCGCTGATCTGCACCATGGGTCTCATCCTCCGAAACTAAGGTGGGCATTTACGGCCAGTGACCGCCTCAAAGAGATGAAGCGGTCGAGAACGCCAGGCCAGGAGATATCGGCCGAGCGGCCAAGCCTCAGACCACTGGCACCGTTGTACATGTGGCAGCAACTTGCACACTGCAGGCATGTTAGTCAAGGCAGTGGAAATGCTGAGCAGTCTGTGGCCACTCGGCACCGGTCGCAGCTGCAGATGGTGCAAGCCGCTGCATACCACCTGAACTAGTTCAACAAGCTGAAGCTAAGCACAGCTCCACTCCCGTTCAAAACGCGTGCTGCGGCTCTCTAAAGGATGCTCATGGTGCAATTGATCTGTGAAGCTGATTGCGCCAACTTGATCTGATGAAGCGTAGCGATCCGCAGCGACAGCAGCGCCAGAAGAAGTTTCCAGCAGCTCAGTGCGACTTAGCATGCGCACGCCCCTGCAGGTAAGTGCAGGTAAGTGCAGCTAGGCTAGCTGAATCTCCTCCTTGAGATTGGCAGGTCCTGGTCAGTATGAGTTGAAGTCGACTCTGCAAGGTGGGGGACTGCACATCAAAGGCGTATTCAGCATCCTGTGGGGTAACGTGAAAGTGCGACTGGATACGGCGCAGATTGAAGATGTGTGGTTAGTGAGCCTGGGGATGCGAGTAGCGATCAAGATGCGTTACGCCTATCAAGTCAAAAGTCAGGCAGTAGGTGCCCCGCCCGCAGGTAAGGACGTTTCCATATGCAGCAAGCCGGATGGTCTTGCCGACCTAAATTGTGGTTTCCGCTGTGCGGCTCAAGCCCGACATGGCCATTGTCAGGAAAAAGTTTCTTGACATTCACCGTACTGCATCATAGGACCCTGAACTGACCAAATGAAATCAGCCCGGCCTGCGAAGTCACACTGCTGAAGCCGCCAGGGAAAGGCCTCACTGCACCCTTGCCGGGGCCTGGTGCATTCTCTCCGAGCTGGGCTGGCACGTCCAACTATGGGTGCCTTGCCTTTCTTCAGGAGTTTCTCGCATGCCACCAGCTTCGAACATGCAGTTGAGCCAGCGAAGTGGTTTGCGACTCCGGGTGGAGCAAGAGCGCTTGACAGATTCCATAGATTCCAATTCCAGGTCTGCCCCCTCCATTGGCTTCGGCGCCTCAAACAGGCCCAGTGTCGAGCACAGATAGTGTCCCTGCAGCATAAGATTAATCACCGCCCGCAACAACAACTACTCGCAAAACACAAACTACGCTTCACACACCAACCCCGCTTCCACCAAACCCCGCTTCCACCACCACGTGCAGCTCACCAAACAACGACGGAATTGCTCACCAACATCCACCCCACCACCACTGCCTATAGGCTACTCTTACTCTTATTATTTGTTGCTACTCTCATTGCGTGTACTACGCTTATAAATCTTACTGGTCTAGTCTAGTGCGAGATTTTTTCAGATGTATTCTGTACGCGAGGTCAGGAAAATGATATGTTTTCTTCTTGAATTGCATATTGTATTTGATTTGCTGAAATAATTTTCATATTTATATTGATGACGATTTTGCAAGAAAAACACGAATGTCTATATATAAAAGAGAATATTTTCTGGCAAGGAATATATCTATTGAAATTCATGATTTTCATGATCAAGCAATTTCAGAATTTGCGTTCAGTAATTTGAAATAACGTTCAAAATTTATGAGAATTTATGAATTTCTATCTTCATCAAATTTCCATTATAATGCCTTTCTTTTTTTCAATAGTGATAACGATTTTTGAATATGTAAATCGAAAAAAAAATATCAATTGTATTTTGGAAGTGATTCTGATGTATGAATTTTTGTATCGTGAATGATCAAGCTTGATCATAATATCAACGATAATGAATTATTGTTTTTTTTTCTTTTTTTCTTTTTAATATTTTTTCTAATGAAATATTACTGAATTTCAACGCCAATCTAATATTCAATTGAAACGATCACTAATGGATAATTATTCATATAGTTGATATCTATCATGTTGTGCAGCGAGGGCGGCCAAACTCTTGTGCGCATCTATCCTTTGAGCGTTAGATTCCTCCTGAGAGAGGGCAGCCCTAAACCTGGTTCCCATGTATCCTTTGATGGAGCCTCCAACCTCCTGAAGAGGTCAGGTCAGGTCAGGTGGTCAGGTGAGGGAAGCAATTAGAGCCTGAGGAAATAGAGGTCGGGTCAGGTGAACTGGATTCTGTGGGGCTGCGTGGCCTTTGTGTGGTGACTCGGGTTATGGGTTTGGTCTTGGTGGAGGAAGCAGGTATATGGTGGAGGAAGTAGGTGTTTTTGGTGAGTGAAGCGATGACCTGCATGCACAGCCTGACAAAATCGAAGGTTCGCGGGGCTGTTTTTGGAGATGCCTTTCTTAGGGCAGCCTGCGGATTCCTGCGGTTTTGCTACTGAGCATGCCCAGAATGTCCCGAAGCCATTAAACAATTTGAGTCGCGCCTTACATCTTTCTTAGTGCAGGGGCAAAATGGTGGCATCCAAGACACCTGGGCCGGGGCAGTACGAGATCCCGACAACCTTGATCGGACCCTTGGCCGAACTGTGCGCCGCATCTGCAAGTAGTTGTGCCACTTCTAGTGAAGTGCAGCCCATAGAAATACACCCGACGTGAGGATGGTAGCTTCCGTTTGCTGTAGATGGTAGATGGTGACATTTGAAAGACATCTTCAAGATCTGGCAATTCCGAGAAATTTCCACGACTGGCTGCAGGGTCCAGGACCGCCAGGACTGGCGACTTTCAGCACGTGCATGACGTGAGTGGAACATCCTCTTTAGTGTGTGTTCGGACTCCAAGTGTACCCCTGTGATGGACGTGTTGGCCTGACGTTCAAAGAAAAGCCCTGCCCCGCTTCAGAACTCCAGGCCTGGAGAAGCATCCAGACCACCGCTGGAAATCGGCTTCAATACTTACCGTATCGCGAAGAATCCGGAACAATAATGTGGCACAAGGACATGCTCAAGCCGCCTTTAAGAAGCAATAGGGATGCACGCGCTTCGTGAAAAGTCTCCATGTCAGCTGCAAGTTTGATAGGTGGTCGTGGATGCAAGGGTAGATCAAGGCGGTTGCATAGTTCACCTTGCTCAAAATCAAGAATGCAGAAGAATGCAGGAGGGCTTTGCTTCTCTGTAAGGAGCAAAGACCGCACGTGTCCTCGTACTTGAATGAACCCATCACTGATTGGTCTAGCATGTCTGAGCACGCTTGGGCACAGGAGAGGAGCGCATGCAATACATGAGTAGCTTTTTTGTGGATGCTAGGTACCCAATATAGACTAAGATTAGATCCTCCTCTTGGGTACAATCTTACTTGTTTCAACCACCAAGTACACGGTATTCACATCTTCGATTGGACTGTTTGCAACGGGGAGGGCAAGTTTTCCGTTGTTCCAGTTGCCGTGCATCTGCTGGTAGGCCTGGAAGTCTCAGGAGTTTGAAGCCCTGGAATTCCGAGATGTTCAGTTAACACCGGGGTACAGACCTGACCACAAGCAAGAATTTCAGATCTCTCTTGAAAAGTAGCTGGTCTGTGACTGTGTGGTGCCCGAACCAGTGGGGAGTTTTAAGCAAAATCTGCCACGTGGTCGCAGCATCTCCCGCAGCGTGCAGCAGTACCACAATGGGCGATGACAACGATGGTATTCCACAGGGTTTGGGGAATGCCTAACGGAAAGTGTAGGACAGTTCTGAGTTGTTGAGTCTCAAGGCACTTGGCTGCTACCGCAGCGCCAAATCTTGAGTTGGGCACACTCGCGGTATGTACGGTCCGAACTTGGGGTCCCAACCGAGGAAATGTGACAATGAAGAGCCCTTGCGCGTGCATCGGCCCTGCTTGACAGAGATGGGTTGGAGCAACACCAAGGGGCACCTGATTGTGCTGTGGCTGGGGCTTTATTAAGTCCGAGGAAGGCATGATGCTCTCTCCTGCTGCTTACATGCTTTCTGGAGATGCCAGGTACTCCATCAAGGGCCGCTATGGTCAAGCCAAGCCGGACGTGAACCCAGGCACTAGTGCTCGTCATGACGCTGAATTTTGTTTGGTGATAATGGCTTCCATGCACTTGCCACGACTGAAGTCATGAAGCCACATGATTTTGATGTCACCTGATGGTTGGATCCATTACTCTGCATTTCAATATTTTTCATATTACCCAGTGTCTGTCGGTCTGAGCCTTAGCGAGCCGCAGCGCTACAGTAGGTTTTGAAGCATAGCGCCTCAATTCCTGGCGAAGACTGTCAACAGGAAATTGCAGACATGATTTTCATCTCTGCAGTCCTGTAGCACACCATTACTGAAAAACAAGAAGTAGAGATCTGCTGGTTTCTCATGGAGTCGATTGATTTTCCAGTGATTTTCCAACGAGCTGTGTTTTGTATGAGCCTGATCCCACAAAGGACCTCAAGCGTTTTTGCTGAAGACGTATTGCAAATTCGCATGTTCGAAAAGTTGCAAGTGACTCGCAGCAGAAGTCACAAGCCCAAGGAGAAGTCTCAAGTGATGCCCTCTCCGGGATACACCGCTCGTGTTCCATAGAAATGACATTGGAAATAGCAACATGTGATAGATTCTGATAGATGATTCTCACAATCTCCCAGCCAAACCTTTGTGTTCAATTCCGAGCACCAGTTCCAAACATTGATTTTGATGTGTGGTGAAACTGTTCGGGAAACATGTTGTCTCATCAAATCAAGCTTGTTCCCTTCTCATATTGATCAACAAGTAGAAGGTTTTGTTTTGGCATGCAACGCGAATGTATGCAACACCTGACGGCAGGGGGGAAACACGCCACATCATGTCTGCTTTTGAATGAAAAGTAAGTTGTCATGAGATACGTCAGGAGAGAAGAACCGCGCAAAATCCATTTTTGATTTTTGACTTGTGAAAGCGCAAGTGATATCTGCGTCGTAGTCCTAAACTCCACGAAGCACCAAGCCTTGCAAGGCCCTGGCAGTGCCGGCACTACCTTCAAGCGACGTTGCTTCAAAGTTGTCGGTTCTGGTTTTCACGTAAGGAACTATAGTCGTGGAAAGCAGCAATGTGCTGTGTGCTGTTCAGTTCTTGAAAGCAACATTCGAGCAAGCTTGGGAGCCTGAAGATGACCTGGTGTGGCGCGTAGATTGCCGTCCTCCTTAGCCTGATTTGTTTTGACTGGAACCAGCCGTTCTGCTGACATCCAGGTGAAAGCTTGGACGCTGGCTCTGCAGGACTTGGAGGGCTCCAGCTCATTTGGTGAGATGACTTGCATGCTGTTGAGCGTAGAGAAGCAAGCAAAATGCAAGAGGCTGCCTGTCCTGTTCTGTTCATGTGAAAGCGCCTGCAAGATGTAGCTTTTACCATGGAGCTTGGTCAGGCTGATGAGAGCTTGTTTCCTGTTGTTATTGCGGTGGTGAGGTCACTGTGCTACTGCGGCGACATGCGCAATCTACCCAAGCTTGAAGCCCATGAAAGGATTCGATGGACTCACAAGGTTGCACGTGATGGACCTCAGCAACCGGGTACACTACGAGCAGTCCCAGGGGACGGAACGAGGCCCAAATCAAAAGATCCAGCCATTTCATTGCCAGCAGTGCGGCCCGTTTTCCTCCGCCTCCTCGGGTTGCTCACGGCATAGCTTCGGCCTTCAGCTTATCAGACGCAGCTTTGGCCTGGACCACGGGTAAACTCCATACGTGTTGGACACAGTTTCTGCTTTGAAGTTTTGCACTTACCTTGGAACACAATATGGTGATGGCCAAGGGCCATAAGTCTAGGTCGGGGTTCCCCGAATCCTGCGTAGCGATAGGATTCTTCAAGTAAAGTCTCCAAACTCTGCACAAAGATAAGGTGACCGCCCAAAAGCGATAAGAATAAAGAACATGGGAAGGTGTGGGTCTAGGGTTTTGTCGCGGGGTCATATCTTGAAATAACGAGCTCAAAGCGACAAGAAATCAGCGTTTGTCTGCAGAGTCCAAGCCCATTGCACAGACGCAGTGAAGCAGAAAACAGAACATCCAGGTTTTTATGGAAGTTGCCGACGCACGTCTTGCTATTCACCAGTTGTCAGTTTACTTAGCCCAATCCACAGCTGCGAGATGTACAGTCGCGGTGTCCACACGCAGAAGTGCGGGATGCAGCCGTTTCACTGCTTCAAAACATGGAACAGTTGACAGCATTTTGACGAGTGTCCTCCGTGAAGCTCCGTGAAGCTCAGTGCTTGTTGACCACAAGGTGAAGCACAAAGCTTCATGACAGCATGACAACATTTTGATGAAGGTCTACCAACCAGGGTAGCCCTTCCATGTTCTGACGTTACATCAATGATCAGGCACTTGATCTTTGGAAAGTCCATTGCCGCAGCAACATAGAGCGAGCAATACATCAGAGCAACCAACCCTAAACCCTAAACCCTAGACCAATGCTATACTGGCCCAGCATATCAGGCGTTTCACGAAATGCGAGTCAATGCCTGCTCCATGCAGCCATCTCGTTTGCACGAACGGTTGGTTTGGCGGAGGGCGCTGCTGATTCCAAGACCGATAAGCTGATGCATGGGAAAGGCCGAACAATCATCGTATCAAAGCGCAGGCCCTCTATGGTTTCAGGGTGCTGGTTGCTGCAACATTTTGCCGTGCTAAAATTTAAAACAAAGTGCCAGGGGTGGATCCATGCCTGTCGCAAGTTGAGGTTTCGACTCTCAGCTTGATTCATTTCAGGTTCCGGCCATTGTGTTTTGCGGTGGGTTTGGAATATGGCTTGGACTTGCATCATACCTCCCAGCAATAGCAGGATGATTTCCAAGGGAGGCTTCTGAAGGATTCAGCACGTCCTCTGCTTCTTGCCATGACCAAAGCCGTGGGCTTGAGGCAGTGCCAGGACAAATGTCACTGACTGTCTGTTTGGAGCACCGGTTTGCATTTGCTTCGGGAACATGGGATGCTTGGGTTGTTGGGTTCTACGAGTTGTGTTGGATATTGCAGAAGGATGCAGAAGGGGTGTTTTGCTTGGGGGACAGCATGCCCGCGGTTGCTTCAGGATGCCTGAGGCACACTTCAGCAGATGCTCGGATGCCACGGCCAGGATGCCCCTTCAGTTCCTCCGCAAGATTTTCAGTGCTCAGCAAAGACCCTGGAACTGCCGC